CAGGGCATCGAAGGTAACGAGACAGCGGATGTACAGGCTAAGGAAGGCGTCGGGTTGGCCATTGACAGAACCGAGAACGTGCCTGACTCCCTTAGAACGCTACAAAGCGCTCTGGAGAGACGAGCGGACAAGAAGGCTAGAAGCCGGTGGAGAGTACCACCACCTGGAGAATCTCGAAAACCAAGTGCAAGGAGCGCAATGGTAAACTTAGCCACTACTTACTGCACCTTCCACGGAAGGACTGCAGAATGCTAGTGGGAATACTCACAGGACACTGTCTAACTGCAGCACACGCAGTTAAACTAGGCATCGCCAACAGTGGTAACTGCAGAAAATGCGATGAAGAAGTGGCTATCGAAACCCTGCAGCTGGCCGGCGCTATCAAGGGCAAGAAGAAAATACCTGGGTACCCCGGTAATAGCATCACTGGAAGATGCCTCTAGAAGGACACCAGGGGAACTTCTTGCCTTCGCGAAAAACACCTCGATCCTCTAAGACTTTGAAACCTCACAACAATGAAGAAGGTTCAGGCCCCCCCCCCATCCGGACAACTAAGGGCCATATAGGCCTATGCGTGGCCCCATGGGGGCCGTCCGGGTCAACCTAACCTAACCTAACACTCGCAATAAACATATGTCGAGCTGAATAAACTGGATTTACACCAGCATAAGGCCAGAATAATAGCTTGCTCTTGCTCTTAATTTCAATATTAATTACAACAAATCGTGTACATCTTAAACTCATCATAATTGGTCCTTTTTTGTGCCAATTATCTGTGTTTCGCTGTTTAACAATTGAGTTAATAATAACTTTATATTTCGAACGCGTATCAGACGTGCGCAAGCAATTTGTTAGTGCTTTTATCCATTCCGCTTTGGATCATTGCTCTCTGCGCTCACTGTGCGTGCACTCCATCCGTTACATCGTCTATCAACACACGCTCTGGAGAGCATAAGTGCAAGCTCTCTTGCTCTCACTCTCACTGGACTTCGCCTGCATCTGCATCTTCTTGAATTGCTCTCTCGGTGTCTCTGTTTCGTGAGCTTCACCGTTTGTTTTCGTCACTTCGCTGGATCGTCTGCCGCTGCTGCTGATCGTCGCTCGCTCTGCTGCCTGCACTCTTATATCGCTTGCGCTCCCACTTTGCGTTTTTCTTCGAGCACAGTGATTCAACTACTGTCAAAAATGGTTCTTGTCTGCAGTGCAAAGAAATGCGAATTTGGAGGCAACATAGTCGGCGATTCATTCCTCTGCTGTTGGCTGTGCGACAATGTCGCCCATATAAAATGTGCTGGTTGGGGTAATTTTGGACGTCTACACGATCTCATCTCAAAACGCATGGGTCTGACTTGGTCATGTTTGGCCTGCCGTGAGATTGACGCCGAAATGCGCACTTTTATGAGACAGACTCGTACTGGTTTTCAGGATGTCAGGAAGCAATTTATCGCTCTCAACGAAAGTTCCTGTCCCTGGAAACACAATTCCTTGGCCTCAAACTCTTGAGTGAATCTCCTAGACAGAAAATCCCTCATACTGATAACAACAACCTCTTGCAACCTATTGGAGTTGGAACGCCTGCCTCTCATCTACATACATCGGAATTCTTTGCTACTCCGAGCGGTCATGCCTCGCCGTTAGTCAATCCGCCTTCAGTCGCTCCGGTGTTTCTCACACCGAATAGCAATGAAGCAGTTACTACGTCCATCATTGTCGGCTCCGCTGTGATTGCTCCCAGTGTGGACGTGCTGACCGCTGATGATGTCCCCACCGTTCCTGTCACTGATCCTGTTCCTTCCGTTGCTACCGACGCTGCCATCGTTTATGCCACGAGATCTCTTTTGGGAGTGGCTCCACCTTCTCTCTCTCGCTCGGGACTTCAACTAAGAGCAGTGGTACCTCGAAAGTCTATCTTTGTCTCCCGTCTTATACCGGAGGCTACAATAGAGGATGTCCAACAACATCTTTGCTCTAGACTTAACGCCTCGCTTAATGATATAATTGTGACCAAATTCGTTTTTAGACATAAGCGCAATATTTCCTCCTTTAAGATTCTTCTTCCCGATTCTTTACTATCCAGATCACTCGACCCGTCTATTTGGCCTGAGCATACAAGTATGCATGAGTTCCTACATAAAGACTCTATCCAGAGTCCCAATATTACTGCCCTGGTTGTTCAAAAAACTAAATAACCTTTTTATTATTCATTACCAGAACGTACGCAGTCTGTTTGGCAAATTGTGTCAAATACATACGAATAGTTCCTCTTTTGACTTTGACGCTGTCGCTTTAACTGAAACCTGGCTTAACTCCTCCGTCTGTGATCATGATATTTTCGTTCCAAAGTTTATCACATATAGATTGGACCGTCCATCTTTTGCTGGTGGGGTTCTGATTGCTGTGAAAACGGATTTCTCATCCGAGTTGTTCCCATTCAACAATATCTATGGCATTGAATTCATTGCAGTCAAAGTTTGTGTTGGATCGGTATCGATCTATTTGACTTGCTCTTACATTCCTCCCAAATCAGATGCTGAGGTTTACTCATATCACCTTTCTGCAATTCAGACTATTGCATCTACTTTAGGTTGCAACGATCATATTATTGTCATGGGTGATTTTAACTTACCACTTCTTTCTTGTCTGCCTAGTGATGCGTCTAACCTGTTGCTACCAAATTACCACAACGATTTTATTGACGGGCTTACCGATGTCTCCCTAGTTCAAATTAATTCCATCTTGCTACGGTCTCCAGAGTAAGTCCAGTATCACTTTCTGAAGACCCCTACCATCCAACTTTAGCCATATCCCTTGAGTGTGTCCGATCCAGTTGCGCTGCCAATCCCATGGCACCCAGCCGCATACAGTGTTTTCGGAAAACTAATTTTGCTGACTGGTCTTTTCTCCACGTGTTCCCGAACATTGACGAAACAGTCAACTCGTTCTATGAAACTATTAACGACGCCCTTAATATATATGTTCCTGTCATCAAATCTTTGTCGTCAAAACCTCCTTGGTTCTCCAAGAATTTGTCTTATTTAAAGAATAGAAAAACTAGGCTCTATAAAAAGTATCAGAATACTGGATCTATGATTGTCTTCGCCCAATATTCCTCCGCTCGTTCTCAATTCCTCACTGTTAATAGTCTTTGTTATAATCAATACCTTTCCCGATGTAGTAAACATTTTCGTAGTGATCCAAAAAAATTCTATTCGTTCGTTAATTCTAAACGTAAGTCCAATGCATTTCCTCCATCCCTCCATTATCAAAACAAATCTGAATCTTCTGCTGCTGGTATTGAAAAATTTATTTGCCACCTTCTTCCAATCAACCTACTCGTCACATATCTACCATGCATCTACTCCGTATCCCTACCATTTACCTTATGCCAACAGCATTTTTCCGCCTTTCTTTGAGGAAAGTGATGTTCCAGAAGGTTTGTCAACGATTGACATATCATTCTCGGCGGGTCCAAACAAGGTACCAAGTTGTATTTTAAAACACTGTGCTCAGTCCTTATGCAAACCTTTGACATATCTTTTCAACCTATCATTGGAACGGTCCTGTCTTCCAGTGATTTGGAACGAATCCTATATCATTCCGCTTCACAAAAAGGGTTCAAGATCTCACATTGAGAACTACCGAGGTATTGCTAAGCTTTCCGCCATTCCAAAGCTGCTTGAGTTCCTTATTACCAGGCAATTGCAACACCTATGCAGGAGTCTGATATCTCCATCGCAACACGGATTTTTTAAACATCGATCAACATTAACAAACCTTCTCGAGATCTCTTCTGCAATTAACCGAGGATTTCAAAGCTCCCTGCAAACAGACGTAATTTTCACGGATTTTAGCAAGGCTTTCGACTCCGTGAACCATTCTCTTCTCATTCACAAGCTTTCTTTAATTGGTTTCCCCACTAATCTTCTAAACTGGATTTCGTCATATCTTTCTAACCGCACACAACGTGTTTTGTTTACTAATGTGTTGTCGAATGTCGTTAATGTTACATCAGGAGTGCCACAAGGTAGTCATTTAGGTCCACTTCTGTTTATTTTATTTGTGAATGACCTTCCTCAAGTTATAACATACTCCTCCACTCTAATGTACGCTGACGATGTTAAAATCTATCTCTCCTACTCTGATTGGTACCTGCACAAACGCCTTCAACTCGACCTAAACGAGTTGCAAATTTGGTGTTCAACAAATCTCCTCTTTCTAAACCTTTCTAAATGCAACCTTATGACTTTTCACCGTCGCACTCCACACTTTGTCTCGTACGCTCTAGGAATTCATGCCCTCGAACGAATTTCGAGTTCTAATGACCTTGGAGTTCTTTTCAATCATAGACTGTGTTTTAATAGCCATATAGCTGCAACTGGAAATAAAGCTAAGGGTGTTCTAGCGTTTATAAAGCGTTGGTCCAAGGAGTTTGATGACCCGTATGTCACCAAAACACTGTACGCCTCCTTGGTTCGTCCGATTCTGGAATATTGTTCTTGTGTGTGGAGTACACAGTACAAGGAGCAACAGTCCATTCTCGAGTCGGTCAAAAACAATTTTTAATTTTTGCCTTACGTAATTTTAACTGGGACTCGGATAGAATCTTGCCACCTTATCAATCGAGGCTACATCATTTAGACCTCCCTTCTTTGCGCCATCGCAGAATTTGTAACGGCGTTATATTTGTACACAAGCTCCTAGTTGGGCTTGTTGACTCAGAAGCACTTCTTGGCCTGCTTGACTTTTCTGTTCCCCTTAAGACCTACCCGTACCTTTCGTCCGTTTCGTTTACCCTTCTGTAGGTCTAATTGCGCTCAACACGACCCTTTTTGAATCTTATGCTCTAATTATAATAATCTTTATCACACCCTATCCCCTGAATTATCCCTTAAAATTATAGCCAGTAAGATATACCTGTTCTTACAATCCACTAATTTTTAATTATTTCCTATATCCACTTTTTTTTTCCCTTTAATTTTAATCATAATGTATGTTAGCAGATAGTTGCTAGTCTTCAATAAATAGATAAATACTTTTGGTTCGGACGGGAACTCAGACTGCTAGGACCTACCGAACTAACAACACAAGAAAGTGCGGAAGCACGACAAAACGCAGAAGCATTAGCAAAGCAGAACATGGAATAAGCAGCAGCGAAACAGACAAGACATTAAAATTTGACTCGAAGGGACTGGATGCCGAAGATAGGGGACATATTATGAGTCAGAAACCACCCACTCTCGAAGAAAATTGACAAGACCACAGCGAAACTCGAACCAAAGTACAACGGTCCTTGTAAGGTCCTCGAACTATTGTCCCCAGTCATAGTCACTGTCAAAGATACCTCTACTAACAAGAAAAGTCGAGCACATGTATCGCAACTAAAACCCGCAAGCAAAAATGAGCAAGAAACAGTCACAATAACGACACCTCTCGAAAGAATCTGCTGGACCACCGCAAACAAGGCAGATCAGCCAAAACAACAGGCCACCGAGCGTATCAGCTGGGCACGACAAGTAGAAATAGAAGAAAGTAACACAGACATCCTGAACATTAGAGATCCACCAGGGACTCACAAAAGACAAAGGCAGGCACCAACGAAGCCAACAGAAAGCCAAGCAGCGGAGAAGCCAATACTCAGAAAAGCACCGGACATGCCAAGTCGGGCATGAGAAAGGCCGATCCCAACACAACACCGATCCGCGGAGAAGCCAATCCCGATTCAAAGCCAGGCTCTAGCGAAGCCACCACAAAGCCAAGCAGCGGAGAAGCCGAGACCGAGACTGAGACCCAGCCGTGCACCGGACATGCTAAATCGAGCAAAAGAGAGGTCGATCCCGACACACCGAGCAGAAGAATATCTGCGAGACAGGCAACGGACATGCCAGCACTGGTCAAAACTGCCAACACAGCGGTATCCATACCCGTTAACTGGGAGGTGCACCAAGGGTTTAACCTTAACCGAAGCCAGGTGGAATTGGTATTACGAGCGGTGAACAACCGCCAGGAGCATCGCCAGAGGAGGTTCAAGCAGTAGAACGAGGAGATACCAGACATGGCGTGCTGGGGAATCAACCTGACGACGCTTCCCAAGAAGAGGAGGGAGGACTGTGACGCCCAGCGCTGCTGGAGAACATCGCCAGCATTACAATAACAAACAAATGTTTTTTGTATTACTTAGAATTAATGACTCACATTCCAATATTACTACATTTAACCATTTACCTAGATCTAAGAGAACAAAACCTGCAAATTAATTTAATTAAAAAACACATAAAAGAAGCAAACATCACGACTTTTAAAATCCACGCGCCAGCGATCACTAACAAACGGCCACACTCCAACATTTGAATCCACGCCAAAACAGTGTGCCCAGCCCTCAGAACCACACTATCAGCTCATCATGGCAACGCGCTAGTGCCAAAGAAGGGAGCCAACAGCTGACTTTTTGAAATAAAAGCAGCCACGCCAGAGCCATAAGGACCATTCCTGTCTTGGGCTGGCAAGGCTGGATTCGCTCCCCGAGACTTTAGTAAGCATTGACTGCTATGGTTTTTAGAGCGCACGACTCCTCTATAACACCCAACTAGCCCTGCTATATACCGTCCATTTGGATTGCATTGGTTACTGTGTTAGAGCGTACGATTCCTCTGCACTTTACTCTTTGCTGCTTTCCTTCCTACTCGGAGCGCATTTTCCTCCGCAACGCTTATTTCTCCTCGGAGCGCATTATCCTTCGCAACACTCGTCTCTCCCGGATCGCATTTCCTCCGCCACCCTCGTCTGCCACGGAGCGCATTTTCCTCTGTAGGGAGCGTATTATATCCTGAGACGACCTGCACGCATCTGGTAGCCACGTGCGGCCCTGACGATCCTGAAGTAAGACCTTGAGGACGAGTCTGTGACCACCGTTATAGACACACCTAAACTCTGTAATTTTAAGATCAATAAAGAAAAAAAACCTACTTTTGCTACCTTACTTGTGTTGCCTTCTTCTTGAACCTAGAGTCATTTTCTTTTAGCTACCACATCCAGAGATCAAACAAATTTCTCTGAATAGGGGATATCCCGAGATTGAATTGAATTCAGAATCCAGAAATCGACCGAGAACTTACTACCATTGATTCACGACCTCACCATCGTGTGTATCTTCTTCTTGACTTGTGCATTGGATTCGGCAATTCCAAGCAAGTTGATACACGACTCCTCCCTACGAATCTGTAAGCGCTGTGCCAGGTCCTCAGTTATGAAGTTCGTTTGTAACCCAGAGTAAAGCAATGCTCGGGCCAAAACGTACTCTCCATTTTTGGTTCGCTTACGATCGATGTCACCAGAATTATTCTATCCAAAGCTGTCGCATGGAGTGCATGCGAAGTGGAAGGGTTATTCTGATTGGGAGGTGGAGAAGAATTCTCTGGGGGTGATGTTGACGCTAAACTTTTATCCACAACTGTGTACCTCTGCAATAAGTCATAATGTGATAGAGGGAGTGATATGGATGACCTGGTGGTGCCACACCATGCCATTGCGGACCGCGGTCCGCACATTCTGGGACACAGCAGCTGTTGCTGCTGCTGCTTCTGCTGCGGGTGGGCCGGATCCCGCGGCGCCCGCCGCTACCAGAGCTCCTCCCTCGGCTTCTCGTCCATGGGCAGCCGTGACGGCGCGACCGGCTCCTGGATCGGCTTCTCCCACACTGCTTACTTCTCTTCCTCTGCCTTCTGCAGCCGCTCCTTCCAACGTGCCTCAATCGCAACGAATACGAAGCCACGGCACACTACGGAGAACACGAATCCAAGGTCAACACCAGCAAACCGCAAGCAAGCAATCGGGAGAACGAGTCCTACGGTCACTACGGAGCAACCGCGTCCTAGGCCAACAACAGGGAACACGCATCCCAAACAAACCACAAGGATCTCACACACGAGACAAACGCACTTGAACCCGGCGCTCGACAGAGAAAGCCCAGGTCCAAGACAAGCAACAGAGCAAGCATGCACAGAATCCGCAACGGAAGAATTGAACACACGGACACCCGCAAAGCCGACCTCCAGCATCGAACAAGGACAACGGCAAGCACCATCCGACAGCCCAGCAACACGGGAAACGGCCACGCTAACCCCACGCTGGTCGGGGCCCATAATCGAACTGATATTAACAGAGCCCCCTCAACGCGGGCCCGGAAACCAGGACGATGCCACCACGATGCATCACAACGCCCTGTCGTACCCACGGCCGACGCCACACCGATCCTCGCCAATACAATGGAGTACCTTCCGCGTACCGACTTGACTGCTAGTGCCATGCACCGAGCCATGCCTAGAGATCTTCGTCGCCCGAACCACCTGTTGGTCCGACACAAGAGGCATCACCGAGACTCACCTGTTCATGCGCCAAACGACCGCCAATACCACCCAAGTATTGCATCAGAGATATGAAACATATCTACCCACGGCCAACGCCACCCCAATCGTCGCCCACATAAGCGACTACCAACGGAGGATCGAAACGCCCAGCACCTTCGACACAACCCTCTTACCCGAAGACCCCAGCCAGCCATTTGACTCCGAAGCTGCCGATCCAACCGCAGCCGTGGCCGCCGGACTTGGCCCCGCAGATCCAAGCATTTACATTCGACAGACTCATCCTGCCGAAAGACCCGAATCAAACCTTTGACCCCGAAGCCACCAAACCCACCGAAGACGATCCAGAACGCCCACGGGTCCTTGGCCACCCGACATAGTACCACCAATTCAAGAATGCCTGGACAAAGAACTACCAAAGAAAACTGCCGAGAAAACCATCGTGATATGGGATAATCGACCCACCAAGCAGACATAAAGTACAAAGCACCCAAAACAGCAGAAAGGCCGCGATCACAGCAGCAGCAGAAAATATAACGTTACCGACGCCACGCTAAAGTGAATAGATTAACACCGACGAATCCAAAGACTCGGCACAAGCCAAAGGACAGGATAACCCGGAAAAAGGCGAACCTCAGCACCCGCCAAGCGATGCCACTAACCTCTCCATCACCCACCCGGAAGAAAGTTCTAGCCATGGCTCGTCACAAACGGAGGAGGGTCAGCGCATCCACGCTGGCGGGAGACAATAATCGAACTGATATACACAGAGCTAACGAACCATGGCTCTAGCCACGGTTCTCCACAAATAGCGGTGTGTCAGCAGCTCCGGAAATAAAATTGTCTTAAGCAACGCACACAATTTTTTAAGAACTCTCGATCAACAACTCTACACATTCTTGTCCACACAACAATTTAAAACACCCCACCTCCTGGGACATTTCGCAATCGACGGCCTACATATGAAATATCATTTGCGTTATTTCACAATAAGTCAAGCCAGCATAAAATTATCGACTTACCACTCAACTTCCGCGATGCAGAGTTAGCAAAAACTCATTTTGAAACCAAATACCCAATTCCCAACTGCACCTTGCGCCATGCAGTCTCAGCAAAAACACACTGACCCACTAAGCAATTGTCAATGAAGCACCCAGCTTCGACCCACTTACCACGCCCCACAATTATTGTCACCCAATAATCAAAAGTTAGTAATAAGCAATTATTTCCGGGTCTCAGGTGCGATCGCCAGCTGCATAAAAGGGCCAAGATCGGCCGAAAGAGCAGGCAGTCCATCAGCCCGAACACAAGACACTGCACTAGGCAGTCCCTCAGTCACACACCCAAGACACGGCACTAGGCAGTACATCATACCGAAAACAAAAGAGGCCAAGAACACAAGACACTGCACTAGGCAGTCACAAACGCACAACACCACACTACGCAGTCCACCAGCGCCCCATACAACTACAAGCCAGAGTAGCAACGTAAAAGAATTAATTGAATGAATAAATACTGAATAAACCAAGAACAACCAAAAACAAAACTCTCGCATCATCATTTCTCGCTTCCTACTGCATTTTCATCGTTCATCGTTCGTTCTCTTTCGTAGTGACCAGATGTGTTTTTGTTTTGCGCTCCGCATATTCCTTTTGTTTAACTTAAACAGCCGGTGTTTTTTTATCTATAATTTAACTCTCTACCTAACTTACATTAAAATCACACTTTTACCGCGGGTGCATGCCTGATAATTGTGTAAAAACACAACTTATTTAATAAATTTTGTGCGTCGGTTAGCCGTGTGTTTGTGTGGTTGCTTTTCGTAAGTACGCCCTCTCATTACATTTAGCCGCTCTTTGTCGTAGTTATTGCCGTCTATCACTCTCTCTATCACCTAACTCTCAATAACTGTTCTTTCGCTCTCGCTCTTGTAACTTTTTGTGCAGTAACGCTCTTACTTAGAAGCTGTTGCTGCAACCACCCTCTCATCTTTTACCGATTTCGCTTTAAGCATTGCTCTAAGCATTTGCTCTGCACAGTGGCTGATTGATTTGTTTTGAACTTTTTTTTCCCAAGTAAAAAAAAATAAAAGACATAAATATGGAATTTTCTGTCGTCTGTGCCAAAAAAACCTGCAAGAAGCAGATCACCCATGACCAGCCCAATATCCCCTGCTGGCTTTGCGAAAGCGTAGTGCACGCAAAATGTGTAGGGATCTCGGGCAGTGTAGGAGATGCCATTTCCCAACACAACGGCCTACATTATAGTTGTAAGGAATGCCGTGCTGTGGAAAACGACATGCGTTCGTTCATGAGGCAGACGCGGAGTGACTTCAAAGAGCTGATCGTAGGCTTTAAACAGCAATATGATCGGCTCTTGGCCATGAACACTCAGTTCAGCAGTTTACAGCTGCTGGCTGAGTCTCCGAGGCGCAAGAAGTCGACTCCGCGGGACTTACAAGTGCCGACTGCCTCATGTCCGCCGGCATCTGAAAAACTTACTCCGACCACTCCCTTAGTGCAGCAGTTGATTACGTTTGCTACTCCAAGGGCAACGATCGCTGCTGGTGATGCAGATTCAGGAGCCGAATGCGACACTTCGGACAGTATGCAGTTAGAATTGTCTGTAGAGTCCGTGTCCATCGAGTCCGCACCCAACCCCTTAACTATCCCCTCAGTTTCGCTCCCACCAGCTAATAGATGTCCAGGACCACCGGATACTGCCATCACAGGTACTAGGCCTGTGGTGCCAAAACCACTGGTGGGAGTCCCACCAAAGCGACAAGTTTTTGTTTCGCGGCTAGCCCCTGAACTCACATCCAATGATGTGACCGCTTTTTACAAGCAAATAAAAGCCGCGGCTTAAAGGT